TACTAGAAATCTATTACAAAAACAAATTTTTCTATTTGATTTTCATTTCTTATTTTTGTATTAGCAATCTAAGTAATGAAACTACATATTGTTAATGCTATCTGTTGGATAAAAAAATATACATATGACAAGATAAATTGCTATTTATTCTCTTCACGCATGTACTACACATACATATACTATTTTAGTTATATAAGAGTCGCAAGAAAAACATGTAAGAGGAAATTATAATTTTAAAACATTTCTAATTTTCTAATTGTAATTAATTAATTTAATCATTACTATTTTTACTATTTATATGAAAATGTACTGTTCGAAGAACTATCAAATATATTATTAATATAATTTTTAAATAACAGTACGAATATGAGAATTATATAATAAAAATAATATAACTTACAGTCGTTTAAGAAACTAATCCAGCAACGAGTTGCCTAACTTTCCCTGCAATAAAGTTAAAACTGTGTGTGGTGCCATCTGTTATGAGATTTTATTTAAAAAACTTTTTATATTATTATTATTATAAAATGGCAAAATGCTTAATTTTGAGGGTAGAGATAAGTTTTATAAAATGTTCTAAATGCTAATAACGAGTAAAATCTTCATTGAATCCTATCCCACTCCACATATGACACATATCCCCTCTATCTCCTCATCTTTTGACCTTTAACCATCAAAATTTAATAGTATCAATCCCTCTAATATGCGAACATTCTTGAAAAATTTCATAAATTTTCGACAAAAGACACAGGAGTTATTAAGTTTCAAATAGAGTGAACAAAATTGTACCACCCACACGCTATCATCCATGCATACAGGAAAAAACCCAACTTTTTCCATTTCTCGACGTTTAAAGATTCCCGAGTCCAAAAATGTAAAAATCTTGGGGGATATTTTTTGACCGAAATCGATACTTTCCCTCTGATACATATAAAAACCGGGAAAGTAAAAATTACAATAACTTCTGAACGAGAGTGACACATATGAAAACTACTACAGTGAACAGGGTTCAGGTAATTTTCTTCATTACACATAAACACCATTAACATGTCTCAGGTAAAAGAAATGCAAAGTTCAGCGCACTTTTATCTTGTCCAAATTGTGGACAAGATGGTACTGTATATATGAATGGCCATCTTATCCATATAATAGACAGGATGGCATAAGAGAAAAAAATATGCATGTAATTTAATTGTCTTTAACAACTCCAACATATTGTTTCTTTCGTTGTAATTCGTCTTGTGTTTTACTTTCATGATTTCTTCTGTTCGTAGCGCGTTTATATGTCGCAAGATGAGGCATAAACTAAAAGGTCATGTAATCTATAACTTCTTATAGGCTATAAGCAGTATTAACGCATGAAAAAAAAAATGAAATATAGGCTAAAGGCCCTAGTAGAATATTATATGTGTATAATATTCTACTGTAAAAAACGGGTATACCGCATTTTTATGCCGCTGTATACCCATCTTTGATAAACAAGTGTTGTCCGTCTTATCCGAAACAGAGTACATAAAATGAAACAGCCAGATGAAAAACAATACTGGCAATCAGGCTACCAAATTTATAGTGTGGCATGTGGAAAGACCAAGATACACATATTCTATGCATCATAAATAAAGTATAGCTACGTAGACCCTCAGCATATTCTATAGTTTTATAATGCAAGAATAAAATGAACGACCTATTCTTTTGTTACTTAATCAGAGTTAAATAGAGTAAAAGGCTTTACGAACGCGAAAGAACTTAAATTTGCTAATGTGGAGGACCCTATTAATGGTGAACGCACTATCTGTATAATATATAGAGGATTCAGAGATCTTTAGAGGAGGGGTGCAGAAAGAAAACAATATGTCTTACAAAATATTTTATTATCTGAGGATTCCGGCTTTAATCCAGAAGAGCACCCAGAAAGGGTGCAGCTGCGCTCTGCTCACCTTCTAAAAATTCTCCTGCCTCACGGTATATAAGAATAGGTCCATATTGCTAAATTGTACAAAATGACTCCAACTTATTATAAAATTTAATAACATTTTTATACTTTAATCCCAAGAAAAATAATAATGCAGTGATACGCACAGTTCAGCAATTATTACCACGTCATTGAGGCCTTGCCTATTAAAGCCACTTTAATAGCGTATATCCGGATAAGCAAACTAATGACAGCCCTTTTCATTTAAAACGGACTATGTCATTGACTTGTTATCAAGTTGTATTAAAGCCACTTTACTAGGCAACACGCCCATTATTTCTGATAAATCACAGCAAGTACAGGAATACGAAGAAGACATTTTATTTATATATGTAATCCATTTTGTAATTAACCTGAATATTATTTACCGTTTTTATTAATCGATCATTTTGAGGAAAAAAATAATAGTTTTTCCATCTATTACTTTTGCTATTTAGTAAGAGTTTTTTTTTTTTTAACGGATAAATGAGCGAATTTTTGTATGTTAAACTAAAAAATATTAGTAGAAAGTTTCTTCAATTTAGAAAATTATTTTTAAATGATGTGATAGCTGCTTCAAAGACAAATTATTGACATAAATCAAATATAAATTGTTTTAAAATAACAATAAAAACACACATTTCTATTAATTTTAATAAAATATTTTATAATTAATTATAAAAAGCTAAAATTTTTATCCATAAAAATGATTTATATAGGGAATGGTTGAATGGTAATGGACAGGGTTCGATATATCCAGGACAGATCACCCTTAAAAATCTCTAAAGATACAATCTGAATAAGGACGAAGTTTTCAAGTAAATCGATTAAATCGAAGTTATGAAATCGATTAANTGCGAGTACTAACTTTCGGGACGATCGAATATTAAAACTGAATTTTAGTATTTTTGTTCGTATTGACGTTGCATCGAGATAAATCTCATTTAAAATGGGTCGCGTCGTGTCGTATCAAGTCTCGTCTCGTTGAATTCACATTTTTTTTCTTTTTTTTTTATTTTAAAATAAGTATTGTATACATTTCTGTCTTTACTCGCTATCATAATTAAAGATTTCTCTCTTTCTTTTTAAATGCATTGGAAAGATATTTCAAACTAGTTTGATTACAATTTAAATGAAACCTGCATACATATATTATTGTTGTTTTCTTTATGCTTTAATATATCACATCAACCTTTTGAATTTATATTTGAAAAGATTGATTTTTATCAATATTGTGTTACAGTTTTCCTGATATGTTATTCTATTATATTTTAGATCATAAAATTGCTATGAATATCCTATAAGGATATTTAGGTTAATATAATTTCCTATTCTCATTATTACTGTTCATAATTTTCAATTATTTCAGATTATTTCATTTGAATTTTATTATTTATTAGTCATTTGATTTATAATGTAATACATAAAATTATAAAAAATAATAACTATTATAAATTATATAAAATTCCAATTTTAAAGTTACTAATTATTATTATTATTGGATTAAAATTACCATATAAGAATTCTGTATCAAATTACTATCTTGAGAGCAATTTAAATTTAAAGCATGCTAGTTTTGCTTTTTCTTGTAATTAAATTCATTACCATTGAATAGAGTGGTGAATATCTGATTTATTTACGAGCAAATTCATTCTTTATCATAATTGTATAGACAATAACTTAAATTTATTATTTTAAAAACTTTAATGTGTTAAGTATAAGTGAATTAATGATATTTACTATCATCATAAACTAAAAAACTTAAATTTGGATAGATTATAATGTTAAGTTTATCAGTGATGAGAAGTAGTGCTGAAATTTTCACATTGTCTATAATCAGTAATGGAGAAGAAAGGCCAAATCCAAACCTGCATTTACCCCTGTACTATTGTGATGTAGCCATTTGAGCTGTTGCTTAAGAATAAACTCTTAGTTATTATATATATATATGTGTGTATAAATGCATTTTTCACACTCAAATCTCTTTCCTGTTATTTATTTGATTTCTTTCTTTATTTATTTACAAAGATAAGAGGCTCTGGGTCCCATGGGCCTCTTCCTGGTTAGGTACTTACATAATTAGTATTATATCTGTTTAATTAAAGATTTAATGCTGAGTTTTAATTAAATAAAGCATTTATTTATTTATTTTTCACATGGAAAATGTGAAAAATAAATAAATAAATGCTTTATTTAATTAAAACTCAGCATTTATTTATTTATTTTTCACTTTTTTGTGTGTTGTTTGTTTGTTCTTATTATGTAGATACTCGTTGTTGTATTTTTTGTTGCTATTTTATATAATATAGACATATTGAGTTGGGAAAATTAACCATTTGGTGTGGTACAGCTTGGCCTTTGTGGCCCTTGTGCCAAAAAATGCTACCAACCAACCATCTGGCTCAAATTTGCTATTAAAGATTTTCTCTTAATTTATTTAATGCATTAGTTAAGAAATTTTCATATTAGTAAAGTTTCTTAAATTTAATCCATATTTTGTTAATTTATTTAGCCATATTTATTGGTTTGGTGATATGAATTATCGCCTTATGAGTCTTGATACTGAGCAAGTTAAAGCATTTATTGATAAAGAGAATTATTCTGTATTACAAGAACATGATCAGGTAATGCTTTTTCTGTTTTTTTTTTATATATATATAAACACTTTTTAAACTTAGTTTGGAAAATTAGATAAATTATGTAANTTTCGTGCCTCTCTAATTTATTTTTTAAAAAATAATAATAAATTTGCATTATAATCTTCTACTTTTAAATAGAATTGCCCATCCCACCCACCCGGAAATGGTACGTACATCCGTCGCTAGGCAACCATGTTTGCTGGTTTTTGTACCTTGTTCCCCGTGCGATGTCGAAAATAATTCCATAATGAGAATATTGTGCCTATTTAATGCGGAACAACTAAAGCCCGAAACTTTATATTCATTATTTATAATTACATCGCAGCGTAAAATAAAATAATTTTTCTCAGATTGACGAAAATGGCTCCCAGTCACGTGATTACAGTCAAAGACGGAATTATGAAATAAATACGTTTATAATTTACGTATTAATAACGAAACGACTTTATTTTATAATAATAAATTACTAACGGCGAATGTCTAGCGTTTTGAATTTTAATTTTATTTTAATTTTTTTTTTTTAAAGGAGTTGTGCGGAATGACCAAGTTTGCCACGTGACTGCGAACCCACGCAGTCGTCTTAGCTATGCAACCGAATAGACAGGATCACTGTAATATACGGCTTCGGATATAAGTTTATTAAAGGATTATAACACGACCGAATAACTGTAATATTCATTCTAGTGTGATCGAGACAAAAGACTTAAAATATGACGTTCGAGTGACGTCAATAATGGTAAGCCCTATTTTGACTTTACAATTTAAAATCCAGTGTTGCATATGCGGTGTTACTACTACAGCAGCGTAACAATAATCGAAGATGCGTGTTAAGGATTTATATTTTTTTTTGTAAAATATTTAATAATAGAATAATTCGTCTACTATACGTATCGATTGTCATTTTTTTTATGTAATAATTCTCACGCCTTTTAGTTTCATATCTAAATGACAATTAAAGAACAATAAGAATTAGAAATCAAATCTTTTAAAATGTCTATACTGTATATTAAATCTTAAACAAATTTTAATTCTTAAGATGGAATTTTTCATTAATAAACTGACATAAAATGTTTAAAATGTAATAGACTGATGTGATTGTTTTTATTTTCTTTATAATACATAATATATTTAACGATAATGTTATTTAGAAAAAAAATGCCATTGATTTTACACGCACATTTTGTAGTGTTTTTAATACAATTTATTTAATATCGAACCGACATTTGGGAGTCTGCTACTAGACTAACTATTGTATTTATTATTACTAAAAAACATAATTTTTAAAGATTAAAATGGCTTAATATAAAGGTTTATCATTTTCGTGCGAGTACTAACTTTCGGGACGATCGAATATTAAAACTGAATTTTAGTATTTTTGTTCGTATTGACGTTGCATCGAGATAAATCTCATTTAAAATGGGTCGCGTCGTGTCGTATCACGTCTCGTCTCGTCGAATTCACATTTTTTTTTTCTTTTTTTTAAATTTTAAAATAAGTATTGTATACATTTCTGTCTTTACTCGCTATCCTTCTCATTGCATTTGCAATAACCCATATTATCACTGCATTCGGCCTCGTTGTGTGGACTGTAATAAGTTACTTTACTTATAACTAATGATTCGTTAGATTGAGGGCAAAATTAAAGACTAAAACAGGATTTTATAATACTATCGCCATTTAAAAATTGATAAACTGAAGGCCTGCTACAGCATTTACATCAAGAATTTTAAATTTGATGACTTGCTAATATTGTTGGTATTATTTTTCATTTAATTAATTATAGAAATTCCTGGTAAATATAAAAAACTCCAAACGAGTAATTTGAACTTTACCAAAAATCATATAAATGCCAATAGTTTTATTTATAAATAAAGATATTTTCTACGGGTATAAAACTAGAAACAGTAGCCCATTACGTTAAGGACGTTTTAATTATTTTCTCGGTTTAAAATGTGACAACATAACCCACTTATTTTAAATTAGAATGGTTAAAAAGAGTAAAAACAGACTGCAGTTTCGAAAAATGTGTTCATTTATTCCAAAACCGGAAAAGTTTATTATTACTTAAATATTTTTCTAAGATCTAGACGTATTTAATTAATAAGAGAAATAAGTGTATCAATAATACATGTTTACTTCCATATAGAATCCAAATATATTAATAATAATTTAAAATATCCTTTAATTTATTTTCTACCTTCAAATGGGTAAAATTCAGCTTTCTTAATAATTGGATAATATATTTAATTGATAAAGCCTATTAGAAAAAGTTTATCAAATAAAAAACAAATGTGTAATATCGGTCTATGATAATATGATAGACCCCCGTTTTACGACCGCTGCTTTACAATTTACATTTTTACGACTGATAGAAATTTTCTCTTAGCGGATGTTCATTAATTACGTGTACAATTTAATAAGGGAGGTAGCGAAAAGTATATTATTTAAGACAATGGGATAGGGATAGAAGCATTGTTTAAACTTTTTAATGTATTAGTGATATACGAATTTCTTATAAGCTAGTCATATACTAGTCATGTGAATAAACATATTTGCAAATTTAAGTCATTTCTTCAATATCAGGGGGTACTGTACATGAACTATTATACACGTAATTAGTGTACATGTATTGTACATAATGGGGAGGGCGTTTGCCAAAAGTACATCATTGTACACAATGGGGAGGAGTCGAAATTGATTCAACAACTGTACACGTAATTAATGGAAAATCCCTTATAACTACGAAATGTAAATTCTTGGTAGTTATTTTCATATAGTATCAATATAATTAAAACACTAACCAATGATCTAATGGAAAAGAGGTCCGCTCACTTTACGACGTCGCTCTTTACGACGGTTTTCCAGTAACAAATTTGTCGTAAAATCGTAACACTTACGCAATGAATTTACTCACCTGTTTTCAAATTACAAAAATAATAATAGTTCAATTAAAGTTTAGTGCATGTAAATTTAATGAAAAATCACAATTTAAATAATTTAAAATAAACATTTTTTCCTTCTTTCAATATTCTGGACGCCAATAAAATATTACACCATTTATAACGCAAAATATTTATTGATTAATAGCAGAATTAAAAAAAAATTAATTTCGTGCCTCTCTAATTTATTTTTTAAAAAATAATAATAAATTTGCATTATAATCTTCTACTTTTAAATAGAATTGCCCATCCCACCCTAATACCAAGGAAAAAAAAAAGACTTGGAATTAAACTATATTCAAATATATTAAGTCAAACAAACAAATTTTTAAGAATTTAAATTGTGTAGCCTATTTATAGATTTGTTTTTCTGAAAAATATCTAAATGTAGATGCATTTTAATTTACATTTTGATTATAAAATAGATTTTTGCTTGTATAATTTATTATTTGTCAATATCACTATAGGATGTTTGCTATCTTGGGATTATAAAAAAAAATTTTATTTAGTTTATTATATGATTGTGTTAGTTAGAAATGTCAACAGGAAATTTAGTCTTTTATTTAATATTTAATGTAAATTTTAGTTAATATATGCTTTTTTAGTGTTAAATTTCATATTTATAATCTAATCCAATATAATTTTTAATGGTAAGTATAAATAATTAAGAGGATCTTTCTTTTTTATTTTGTTTAAAGATTTATTTTACAGATTTGTTATTAAATTCTTAATTAGAACATGTAAATTATCGCTGACGATTGTGGAATTTACATTATTTACAATATAATACTGCAAATAATTTTTAATGACTAATTTTAAATAGTGCTATATAATCTTTTTAAAACAATAAAGATGACTAAATAAGAAAATTAATGTCGTTATAATGTGTAAAAAAAAAAAAAATTGATCTCTGAATCATTTGTATTGCGTTTTACGTCATTGAATATAAAATACGAAATAAACAGTTGAAATCCGAAATGAAATCAAATGTTATGAGATTTTTCGAACATATATTAATCATAATTATTCGTCAGCACACGATTATCATGGCTAATTTCAATTTCAGTTGGGAGTAGATTCCAGCAGTGGTAAATATAAGACCCATAAATGATTAAAATTCAAAATTGTATAATTTATTATTTGTTTATATTCGGTTTTTTTATATATTTCAGAGATTTTTTTATACGTAATCACGTATAATACGTTCTCATACCTTCATGTCCATTCACCCCCTTTTATAACCAATGTATAACACCAAAACGAAGGAAAAATCGTTAAAGATTGACCTTGTGACGTACTGTACTGTACCTGATAAACGTTTGATGGTATCGCATAGTAGTAATACCTTTGACAAGCTCACATTCTTTAGTAATTTATAAAAAGAAAAAAACACTGATTAAATTTAATATTTGTTTTCTGCTGAGTTCAGTTAGTAGTTCAGAGAAAGCCATAATTTAAGTATTGAACACACGTCTCTTTTCTTCTTATTTTCTTGGATTGACGCCACATGCTTTTCATTTCTGATAGGAGAAAAAATCGTCATCCTGTTCGACCTCATTAGGTCAAAAACATTTTTCGAATAATAGTAGAGGTTTTTATTAGTTTCTACTGCGGACATATCAGAGTTATAGTAATACTATGCCGTACAACCGGTTTAAATTAGGAAGAACAACGTTACACGGTGAATAAACTACAATAATAATTTTTAAATTATTATTTTAATTTTTGATTGTTTTTAAAATGTAAACAAGTTCTCGAAATTATTATTGATATGGAGCAATATATAGTCTTAAAAGTCGGGACAGTATCTAATCGTAAAGCTGGTCACGCAGCGTAAACCTACTAATTTTAAATAAGTCAATGGCCATTATATAGTAACTGCTGTACACGTATTGTGCAAACCTGTGTATTATTATACCTTGCATAATATTTATTTAATTAAAAAGGTTTAAAGAGATTGAAGCAATTAATGAAATTTTTACAACCACGATTACTGGATAGGACAAGTACACTGAAGTTCAACGATTTAGGTTAGGCGTTTTATTTTAAACATAAAATAACATTTTTTTTTTGTTTCCTTTCCTCTTCCAATTCAATTTTCCCAGATAAAAATCCAATAAAATCCCTCAGAGAAACTTTCGTGTCTCGAGGTGTCACCAATGTAATTTAAACGCTTACTCTAATCCTTTGACCCTGTCTTGAAATACTAGAACAGTTTACATTTTTTTAGACAATAAAAGATATTTTATTCATTGATGTAATTTATTATTAAAATAAACTACGTTCGGAAGCATGGCGAATGAACTGAATAAAGTATCATCCGAGAATGTCTAATGATCGAAAAAATTTTTTTAATATGTGGCAAAGTAGTAGTTGATTCTCGGTACACCTATTGGGAACAAAGCTATTTTTCTGCTGGGGTGTGTCTTTTCCTGGCGCCGTCCAGACCATTACTGATCAATATTATGCTCTTTCTCTTAATATTGACTCTATCTTCAACGCATATAACTATTTTGAGTGGTTATATTTGTAGTAGCGTGACGGAAATACCGCACACAATGTGCTAGATGGTGTCAACCGTGGTATGATTGGTAGCAAGCAGCAGCTATGTCCGCATTAGGTTTAGGTAGCCCTATCCATATTTCTTTGCACCTTTTAAAATCTTATTCACTTTTCTAAATGCTTTAAAAGCACCGAACACTTATAAATGCACACGTATCATTTCTTTGATTTTTATATGTTTAAAAGAGCTGTGTGATGTGTCTTTTTTATATGAGAGATGATCCTGCAAAAGAATTGAATCACTTTAAAATTGTATAGTAATGTATATAATCTTGAAATTTTCTATATGAGTAGTTTTGATGATTGATCAAACAAGTACTGTATCATCTTTTCTTGATTTATCACTGGGATAACGATTGATTCTCTCTGTGGATAGAACACATCATTGTTAAGGTTCAGATATTTGAATGGAGTGTTATAAGGTACACATGCGCGTTTTGATCGATCATCAGATTTGGATTCAGTATAATCTATATTTAGAATGTAATTATGGATTTACTCAATATAATTTAAGCATAAATCTTATTAATTCTGGAAAGGAACATTAATTAATTAACATTTGGATAATATGAACCATATTTATATTTCATGAATTGTCTGATTTGACTGATTGATTATAGTTAATATCTAGTTTTTTCTTCTCCCAAGTGGATTTAAAAAATTTTTATGATAATTTTAATATTAAAAATTTAGTTACAAGTTAATTTTTCTAAATATAGACTTTTAGAATATATATTGGAATCTTTATTCTTATAGTGAACTTTGATCATTCAATAACTTAATGAGGGCGAGTCAACGCTTTTATATTCTATTCACTCAGTTATTGAATTGTTATTTATTGAAGCACTTCAGAGTTTTATTGCTTTATTAATATTGGGCTGCATTACACATTATTACGTTAAACTTTGCCCCAGTTAACGTTTATCACTATATTGAATAATAGATTGATGATTCACCGTTTAGAGCATTGTTCTTGATCTGTGAATGTTGGCTGCAATTCGTGTAAAATTTTAAATTTCAATACGAATTTACCTCAGTATAGATTTAATTATAAAGTTCTCTGGATCAATTTTCAAGTGTAATGATTTGTATTCTGGTTACACCCATACAACGCACTGGTATTTAAAAAAATGATACCCGAAGGTGACACCCGAAAAAAAAACGGTTCCACCGTCAAAGTCCGATACAAAAATAAAAGAGCAATTTTTCTAATTAATTTCGCAAAAACTATTTTCCTTTTTCCCACGAGTCGGATCTCCACCTTTCGGAATTAATTCATCTACTAAAACATTTTCCGCCCACCACCAGTTGCATTCGTCAGTTATCATCACCTGTAAAAGTTACATTTCCTTGCATCGTATTTATTTCGACCAAAAATTTCAGTGTCTAGAACTATTCAACGTATACTTAAATTTGAAAATGACGTCGTTAGGACTGAAACTGAAACGGTTAAAACAGAAAACGGGGAATAAAGGTGAGAATGATAGAAATTTTAACATGTGTAAATTGCATAAACTGTTTATTGCGTCACAGAAAAATGTTCTGGGTTATCGTTTAGAAAAATATTTAAAAAGTCAATTAAACTGACTGCTTAACAGTTTTTAATTAAACTGATAATTTCTTGTTAATGTAAATAATATGGTTTATATAATTCCTAACTAGGTGAACTTTTCAGACTTTCTAATTCGTTGTCGAGTAATTTATCTTAATATTGATAACCTTATCTTAAACCACATGTTAGTTTTTTCACAAGTTAAATCGAAAATATTTCTGTATTATGTTTAATCCTTCTAAGATGTGGCTTATTCGGAAAATTAGACTTAAATTTTTCAGTAAAGGTAACTTTGAATTGGATTATTTTTCTTTGAAATTTCAGTAGAACTCTTAATTGTGTAAGTTAAATATGTTAGAACTTCTAATGCTTAAGAGTTTATTTGTGAACATACTTTACAGTTATTCTTTTAGAAATCCATTAATCACAATAGCAATGGCTTGAAAATTACAAGATTTATCTACGAATTACGGAGGAATACACTGAAAATATAAATATTTTCTAAGTAATAGAAAAGAATATAAATTCGATCATTGCATAATAATCAAAACTTTACTTTGTTTGTACAGTAAAACCCGTGTAAACCGGACTTGCACGGTACCGAATATTTTTACGTTTTGAACAGGTTTTTCCCGTGTAGACAGGTTTCTGTTTTGAACAGTTTTTACTGTATTTTATACTGTTTGTTAACTTGATACTTATGATATTTAATGTCATATATTTCTAGATTATATTAAAATATGAATGCTATGCTTATAATTTTAGTATTTCCGAAAATTTTGTAATAAAACATTACCGAGATATAAACGGATTTGTAAGTTTTAAACAGAAAAACACGAGCTAATTATTTTATTTATGTAGTATATTTAATATTAGTAATGCACGTTGCAAAATATCTTAGAATTCGAATTATGCAACACTTTCATATGTGTTCTTAGTTACGTTTTAAACTCATTAAAACACATGCCACAGACCTTTAAATTTTAAAAACAGAATAATAAAAATAATCCCAACAGTTATGAAGCTATTTTGATGTACCCATTACTCTGTTTTATTATTAAATTTATGTATAAAAGAAAAATCATTTGTAGGTTTATTGTTTTCCGTAAAACAGCATTGCATTATTTTAAATTTAAATAATTATTAACGTGTGTTATTTGCAGGTACAGATCCATTTTTGTTCGATGCTTTGCGCTTGATGCTGTATAAATGTAAGATGGCCGTGAGCGAAGCCGTCTGCTTGTGCCTTTTTCGCATTGTGCTACCAATAGCTCTTCTAACAGGTGAGTATTTATTTATACAAAATTAATAGTAATATATTGAAAATTTGTCTGTACATCGTTTAATATAAATGCCAATAGATGTATAGTACTTACTTTAACCTCACTATATTAATGCTGAATAGCAATGCAAATGTCAGTGGTTAGTAAAACAATAAGTTAAGAATCTTGATAATGAATTTAAGATTTTTAAGAACTTTACGAAATTGCAAGTTCTGTTAACATTGCTGTAAACTGAAATAAGCATTTGAAAATATTTCCTTTCGAACAATAGTGGCAGAAGGCCAAGTATTCACAGACTATTGTCCAAAAAGAATAAAGAAGAAAAATTTACGGTTTTTATCGATTAATTTTTGCATCCGAATTTGCTTTCTAACTTCAAACTAATAACTTAGCTATTAGTAAAATCGCTTATTTATTTTGATTTGTAACTCTTCAATGTATATATATGAACGAGATAATGCTCTTTTCTTTGTAGAGGCATTTTATTCTCTTCCTGTACAAATAGTCACGTTCCGGTTCTCTAATGGAGTCATTAATGATAGAAAGTATCTTCCTTTGCTACTCTTGATATCCTGTGTCACGTGATTTGATATTCCATTGATTTTTAATTTAAACATTAAATCATTTTTATATGAAATGTAAATCTTACATCACGAGTAATCAAAAGAGGAACAAATTTTAAAAAATGACGATGCGTATCACGTGTCAGTATTTGCATATTTTCACGTGTCAAACAAAGAATTTAAATTTGGTTAATTTATAGGTGTTAAGAAATAAGACTAACAGAATGAAATGAGTGTATCTTTGCTGCCTTGCACGGCAAGAGAGTAGTGAATGGAAGCCTATTGTCACTGTCACGCGCTTGTTTCGTGGTGTAATAGTTTTAAAAAACATGGACAGATGCATCTCATAAAAATGAGAATTGAAATCAGAACAGTGTGTTTGTTATTTGTTATTTCTTTATTGATAACCCACTTTTAATTGTATGTCAAATTTTAAGTGCAGTTAACAATAAAAAGATGGTAATCAGGCAAAATACAACACTTGAACATATGGATCGTGCTAATTAAACATTTGCTACATCCTGTTAAGCCCTGTTAAGCCAAGTTAAGCCCTGCATATTATTCAGACAGGAGCGTTTTCACGGTAGTGTTTAGAACAGTGAAATAATATCACTCATGCTGTTATTTCACACTGTTACTTACTGGTACTTGTTACTCTAGCAAATGTTTAGCAGTAATATCATACTTCTCTATATGATATTCTTGCATAGCATGGCAGCAACCACTACCAAAAGTTTAGGAACCTGTATCTCATACGGGCTGTGGCCACCCCAGTTTATATAGGAACAAAATTGTTGTGTTTACTACATCTATCACCCATTTCATTTCTCAATACACTGAATATATCTGTTCTGTAACAAAATATTATGTACATTTTGAAAATATTCCTTTGAAAATAAATTATGAATTAATGTAATAAAATCGAAAGAATTTTCGAATTTATTACATTAATTCATAATTTAAATATCTTTTAGATAGCCTTTCATAATGCATTTCTATTAATGAGAAAGATCAGTTAAAACTGGAGTATAATTTTAACGAATATAATTGTTAAACTTATTCTTAAATAATTTGGATAATAGATAGATAAATATTTTATATTATAATTAATAATTTGCTGTTATCTCTACTAATATTTACTGACTTTTCTGAGAAACAATATATTCGGGTCTAATAATAATACGTCCGAACGGTTATATTGAATAACACTGTAATATGAGAGGAGAAATACGCAAACTTTGCTATTTGTTCTTCAGTGACAAAGATTAAGATGTAAAATAGGACCGTTGTTTAAAATAATAATTGTTTCCTGTGAAATCCTCTGTTATTACAAATACTGCATATTCAAATGTCCTCAATATAAGAAAATTAATGTATGCATGTTTGTGCATTTAAGCAAAAAAAGTATGTCAGAATTTCAAGTTTTATATTTTGTTAAATAATAGCTATGAGAACCTATCATTTGTTTTACGCTGTTCTCCTTTGTACGAGTATAAAAAGATGTCATGCCCTGAAAAATACATCTGTACTAATACAAAAGTCGAAAATGCTTATTACTTTTGTAGCAGTTTTTATTTTGCATATAAATCGAATCTTTATAATGTGATTTTAAGTTTATAAATCGCCGTTTTAATGTGATGTTAAATGAATAAGAGTTGAACTAATGGCTGTACCATAGTTACATAGCTGTCAGTTCTCGAAATTGTTTAATTTTCATGTTTTAGTGGTTCATTTCTTTCGAAAATTTTCAAAGAACATTAATTTGTGACCTTTTTTGTAAAATTATTTATAAAGTATAATCTAAATCGGCGAATTTCGGACAATAGGGCTTTAGCCTTCTTCATAATTCAGAAATGGGCATAGTGGATCTTAATTTTGCATAGATTTTCGTCCATGAATTATCTTATGTAAAGTTTATATCACGATAAAAGAATGTTAAGTATAACACGTGTTGAATATCATTGGTATTGTTATTAAACAGGGATCTGATTTCTATCAATATCAAATGACAGTATAAATATTATGTTTACTCTTCATAGATTATTTCGTTCCTGTCTCGTAAATCCTGTTTTATCCAGATTAAATAATACCAGAGGTTAATCGATTTTAGTCAAAATTATCGTTAAAATTTAAATTTTAATTGGCCAATTATAGTAAAATGGAGTTCATTTTAAGTAAACAAAACTACTATAATATCGGGTATGATACATTACGTTAAAAGCAATATATTAGATGTGTGTGTGAAATCTTTGAGCTGTAATCAAAGTATTAACAATAAAAATAGCTTTAAAATTGTTGAAAATTCATAATATAATGTGAAAATGTAGAAAAGGAATAAAATTAGATAACATGAAAATAGTTACCGGTATATTTGTTTCCTTTATGTTAACGATTTTTATGTATATTCTGTACAATACAGTGAAACCTTTAATTTGCAATCATCAATGGTTCCGAACAAAAGTGGTCTTTTAGAGTGGTTTCACTATGTGTAATACACAACATATTGTGTTTATATTGCAACATATATAAGGGTTTGTTTATCTCCTTAAATTGGGCTTCAATTTGAAAACATTTTAGACATAAATTTCCACTATCGTCCGTCTGTCTTTCCTTAATGTCGAGAATGGCGTTAGCTAATGAAAGACGATACCAGGTATGGAAACCCTAGGGGTAGGAGGCCCCGATTAACTATATACGAACCTCTGATGCAAACCGGAAGTCACGTTATTTCAATTCAAAAATCCCTCCGAAAGGTGTTAGATTCTATTCTTAAAGGAAAAATATGATGTACAGAGGCAAGCCAATATTAATTTGAGGTGAAAAGCATATATTTTAAATGAAATAAATTAAAAATTGCAACCTGGCATTGTGACGATATCACAATAAATTATTGTTCGATATATATTTATTTATCTTTAATTTAATGTAAGTTTGATAAAGTATATATTGAGATTAAAAAAATAATAGAAAATAATGATTAGTAACGTTTCCAATGCATGCCAGTTTAATATTAATATGTTGCATTCTTTAATTTTTCATTTTCTTCCGTAGTAGGATTGTATTTCGTCTTTTGAAGTAATTCATTTTGTTTTCTTGTTTTATTTAGTGATAAACATTCATTATAATATAGTTTTTTTTTTTTTTTCGCTCGTGCATAATTAAAGATTTACCTCGCTTTTACGACTACGCTCTTATCTACGATCTTCTCTGCAGTCACGTAATCGTTTTACGACAGCGTAATTAAAGTAATTCAATGAATCGACAAATACCACGCTTAATTGAGAATGAAAAAAATTGTATATCGATCTTTTATTTCCAATATGTCTATACGGGTCTATATTTTTATTATTATTTTAATAAATAAATGCATCTACTAAGTCGAATCTGGAAAGGAACAATCTATTCTAATAGATTGTTCCTTTCCAGATTGCATCATGTTTAAAAATTATAATTTATTTATTTTTAGCACTTTTTTCCCCTAATACATTTTTTAATTAGATGTAAAATATATGTAAAATTTTATTATTTTTAATGTATATTCGTGTATGAAAGATTTCTCTTGTTTATCGATGTATTTTTTTCAGGATCGATCAGGTTTACGGATTTAACGATGAAATATTCTTAATATTAAGATTTGAAATTCTCTTATTTATTAAAGAAATTTCGTATAATTCTATTTATAGGAATTCTATATATATTAAGTACCACCATTAAAATATAATCTCCACTAAACAGAACTGAAATACAAGTAAGATGAATCATCAACATATATTATCTTTGCTAGTAAAACTTGTTTTTCTAAATAAAAACTGTTTAAAATGCAGTAAATAGTTTTGTCAAACATAACTCTAAGCTACATATTTTTTTTTTTTGAATTTACACAAGGTTTTGACAAATGATCGTGTTAACGATACAAATTATAATGAGATTGTTTAAAGTTGCTGGTATTCAAATGAAACAGAGTAAATTTATGAAGATTACTAAAGAAAATAAATAGCATTAGTAATACGACTTTAGAGTTTCCAATAAATACTATTATAAAGGACGTTCAAATGAAAGTAAGAATGGGGTTATAAAACAATAAACGTGTTCATTCAAGTCTCCACGAAAATTGAGACATTTATCTCAACGTTTAACAAACTTACGAATCCTCGAAGGACTGGGCTAAAAAGGTTCCCACTGCCTTTCGAGCCTTCTCGTCCGATGCAAATCAGGATACAAGGTTCTAGAGGCAAATCTTGAGGTTTTTAAGAGGTTCAAAAATGTGCCGAATCGGAACTATATGTAGGGTATCTTAACATTTCCCATCCCAAACAGTGCAATATTTCTATTGCCAGGACGCTTAAACTTTGCCAAACTGCAAATAGACACATTGCCAGGACACAATCTCTCCAGTTTTACATTATCTAAGCTGTGTTACTTTTACATTTTTGGACCTCTTAAAAAAGTATCTCAAAGGACGTCGATTCACGTCGAACGACGAGGTTCAAGAAGTAAGCCAGTCCAGTTCTTCGAGGACAATATTCGTCGACTTTTTAAACTGAGATAAATGTCTCAATGTTCGTGGAAACTTCTTTTGAATAAACAATAGTAAACATTTATTATTATTTTATAATAATCCATCTCATTCTCATTTGAACGTCCCATATAGTTCATTAAGAATTATTGAATTAATTTAGCTTTTGTTTATGATAGTTACATACAATATTAAATTTGATTTTATATTTAGGCTTTCAGATGGTTTCTTTTTTTATTTGACTTACTCTTTTATTACTTGATTAACAGAATTATAATACATGAATCGACGGGATAGTTTTTTTTTCAATTTAAAAAATTAATTTTTGTATTTTGGGGATGTATATGCTTCATATATGGAGTATAGTTTAATCTTTTAAATTACAAAATATTTTTATTGATTGAGGAAATGGTTGCAAATGTTTTCAAATTTTTCTGTAAATGACAAAAGGGAACTTGTACAGTAAAATCAATCATATCGCGTTTTAAATGTTATTTAAAATTAAATCAAATATTTAATTTAAAAAATCTGTTTTGAATTAATAAAATGAAACGAAATACGATGTTTTCTATTTAATTTACTAAAGTGAATAACTAAGGAATTAATTAAATTTTCTAATTTCACAAAATAATCTCATAACAGTAAATTTACATAAGCAATTAACTAGTTATCGCGAACGAGATCGTCTATACCTGTTCATTTTAATCAGTTAATTATAAATAGATTTACGTATTTACTCGTGCTTAGATATCTTTTCGAATAAATGAAATGGCTTTGATGTTCCGTTATCCGTTTAACTGAATTGTTTACAAATTGAGTCCTCGAAAAGATTTGAGCAAATTATACGAAATGTATTAGAAAAATGCTGGCCATTTTTTTAACTAAAATATCGTAATTAAATTACATTCCAGATGAATGTTTCGCAGATTCTCATTTAAAACAAGGAAAAATAATTAGATATCATCATTAAATGGATTATTAATAATTACCAAATTAAAACTTATAATTAGTTTTGGAGTTTTAAACTTTAAAGGCGTTTGCTTTCCTCATAATTATCGATTGAAATGTATTTGAAAATTGCTTTTATTTGGTAGTTTTCGGTCACAGCACATTAAAAATTAAATCATATATTTAAAAATAAACATAATTATTCGAAGGACGATGTCTGATCATTAATCAAACACGAATAACAACATAAACGTGAACACCAAAGCTTAAATTACAGAAAATTCGCCATAAAGTTACTTTCTATGCAGTAATTTAACATAGCATTTTCACTATAATATAAGCGTGTTATTTTCTGTTTTAAA